GCAGCTGGGGGATTAGTCACGCAGGCGACCAAAAGTGACGGCGAAATGCCGGTTCTTCGATTCGGCCCTTCATTATAATTATTAGTTGTAAAAACTGATTATTCTTACAACTCACAAATTTCGATGAGATTCCGAACATTCAAAAAATTAGATTTAATTACTTGTAAGAAATTCGTGTAGTTCCTTTTCTATTTTATGTAATTAAAGAATCGCGTCAATTTTGAAGAAGAATGAAAAAGAAGTCTCTTTGGATAATTAATTTAACCACAAATTTGGAGCTTTGAATCACTGATGTTTCCGACGTATCCATTAGTTTGGACTTTCTTAGAATGCCAATTATTCTCAAGTTCTACTTCAAGTATCTAGAAAATAATCCTGACTTAATTCCCTGGGAATATTCAAGAATACCCGACTTTTGGAAGGTTTTGCCAAATTTTGAGTCGTTGCTCGAAACTCCCTTTGCTGTGAATAGACAAAGCCCATATTATATACTTATTTATGTTCGAGATTTTATGTCAGTTTGGGATTGAAAGGTAGTCAATGTTCAGCTTTCTATACATAAGTGGCATTCAGTTTTTTGGAATTACAACATTACCTAATATCAAATTACCGGTGTAACGTCCTGTAACAATTACGTCATAATTAAAATATTCAGAATTTCTATATTTTACATAAACAAGATAGTAGTAAACACAAAAATCAACTCTCAAAATTTTGAATTTTAATCTTAGAATACATTATCTTAGTCTCCACATGCAAATAGAAATTTCTTGAAACCCAAAATTATTAAATAACAATTTTGATTATTTTTGTTTTATTAATTAATAGAATATGTTTAAATAAATTATCCATCTCCAAATTTTCCTCCCTTAACCCTTATGTCCATACTCGGGTACCCGGGTACCCACAACTACACATTTTTTCATTTTAGTCAAATCAATATTAAAATTTCGTCTCAGCGCTCTAGATCTACGTTACTTATGTTAAAGTAACAATTTAAGCAATTTCTTCTTAAAGAAATTATTTTTTTTATAAATAAATAAAAAATCAGTTTAAAGTATAGATATTGACTGCATTCCAGGTACCTGAGACAAATTATTTAAAAATTCATTAGATTCACTTGAAATTTGTTACTCGGGGGTTTTTTGGGTCGCTGTTTACGAATATGATAACAGTTTTTAGAAATTCAAAATGACGGATCCAATATGGCGGACATTTTTAAAATTTCATTAGATTCACTTAAAACTTGATACTCGGGGGTTTTTTGGGTCGCTGATTACGAATATGATAACAGTTTTTAGAAATTCAAAATGGCCGATCCAATACGGCGGACATTTTTAAAATTTCATTAAATTCACTTAAAACTTGATACTCGGGGGTTTTTGGGGTCGCTTATTACGAATCTGATGTTAATTTTACAAAATTCAAAATGGCTAATCCAATAATGGCTTTAATTTGACTCCTATGGCTAGTCTCTATCACGTCGGATTTACCAGGTAAAAATTTTCAAAAACTGCTAAAATGTGATTTTTAGGACTTTTACTCTAACTTTTCTCAAAATCCTGACGTGATGGGAGGTTTTTGCTGCCCGATTCGGATTCAGCGCGCCAAAAACTACGGAAAATGACTTCTCGATCTCAGACAACGGAAATTTTTATTTGTTTGCAGATTTGTGTTATTGAACAATTCATTTTGTTTAAGAAAAATCTCATTCCTTTGAAACTCAATATTCCTTATTTAAACTAAAAGATTGAACCAAAGAAATAAGAAAATAATAGAAATAATTGTTCCTAAGCTATAGGATGTAAAAATCAAGGCTTAAAACAATTTATTAATTAATTTTTAATATTTAATTATATTAAAAACAGGTATATTGTTATTTACCATTTTTTTGGGACGTAACACCAGAATTGAATTTTATTTGAATTTCTGCCTTATCGACCATCGATTAATTTAAATTTATAAATGTATCAGCCAATCGAATCTCCTAGGAGAAAAATAAACAACTACATATTTATAAAAGGACACGTAATTTTCCTTTTCATTAAAAACTAGTTTATTAATTTGATTTATTCTAAATTAAGAAGCCTTGGATCAGTTCGAATTGGGGGATTAAGAATTTAATATTTTCCAGAGATTAGTTAATTCCACTGTGCTTTTGTTCCATTTAAGTTCTTGTAAGAACTTCTGATGATTTTGAAAATTGTCAAAGAAATTTAACGTTTCATTTCTATTATTTTCTTTGATGTCGATAATGAACTTTTATTCTTTTGAACTAATTTAACTTAAATTTAACTTCAATTGTGTAATTTTTCGTAATATCTGAAAATTTAAATAGGTACCCACGCATAATTTCTTCTAATTATTTTCTTTAATAACTGTTCAAAATCTCGATGAAAGAATCATTATTCTTTTCGAAGATTATGTTTTATTGATGAATTCATATAAATATATAGTATGTTTTATTATTAATTTTGTTATTAATTACGCTTGTAAACTAAATTTATTAAATTGAAAATTTTGAAAAAGTTATCTTTAATGGCCTTTTGGTATTAAATTGACACTTGTAAGTTTAAAATATATTCTCTATTCATTGCATAGATGCTTCATAAACGCATCGAATGACCTATTTTTCAACTTTTGACGACTAACAATTAAGCAGTTATGGATATCTAAAAAATTTGGAAAAATGTACGAATTTTTGTAGTTTTTTGGTATAGCATTGTAATATTGTATGGCAATAATGCAATTTATAATGAAAAATGAAAATTTTCATGAGGAAGCAAAGTATTTATGAAATATAGACAAAAATTTCAGTTTTAACTTTGAAGCGGTTTTTAATATGGTTTGAAAATTCAGAATGCTAATGTACTTGTAAATAAAAGTTGCAGTAATTCCATGAATATTAAATTTTATTTTCTATACGTAGAAAGTAAAATTTAATTTTTAAATTTCATTTCAAAAAGAAATTTTATGTAATATTCATTTATCGCAGTAAATGTTAAATGTCAGTGAAATATGTAACTTAAATATTGCAGTAATTTTTGTAAAATTCACTAACGGTATGTATATTATATGTAGGTACGAGTTGACAGTAAATGCCTGCGATGCATGCATATGTATAATTAATTTAAATGTATGTATATGACATAAATGATCATCGTTTGATGTGAAAATGCATATTATAATTCTATAACGTGAGTAATAAACATAAGAAGCTTAAATAGAAACAAAACTATACCAACTGTTAATTGAATTGCAAAATTAAACACCCATTTATGTATTTGTCTCATATTTAGATGAAATTTAAGAGAAAGTTTATTATTACACATTATAGGTTGGGTCAAATTTTTTTTTCGATAAAGCTTATCGCAAATACGTAATCTACAGATCATTCAGAGTAAAATTGATCAAAATGACCATAGCTGCGCAAAACGAATTTCGAGGCTCCGATATTTGTGAAATAGATACAGTGGTACCTCGATTATCCGAACTAATTGGGTCAGTTCGAGTCGAATTTAAAGCCCTACTTTTGGCCTAAAATGTAAGGTTTATTTCGGTTTGAGCAGTCGCAAAGTCGGTTGTAATTATTTGAATTATTAGACCCTGCTGTATATTGCAATCAGACCCCTCTTTACCCCTGCTGAAACCTAAATAAACCCAAAAATAATAATATTAGTTTTTTAATAAAAAATAAATACTTTTTCGTGTAGAAATTTTAGTTTGTCAGTTATCGGGACCATATCATGTAAAGTAGGGCCCGAATCAGGGAAAACGAGAAATTTTTATATAAGGCCCAATTCGGGTTGTGAAAGGGGCCACACTTATCTTAATATAATAAAAAAAAATTAAAATAAAAAGTGCTGGACTTTAATTTTAACATCATCTTAACAATACAACTAATTGTGGTACCAATAGAAGAAAAAATACAAAATATTCTCTTCATTCAGCATTACAAAGGTTAATTATTTAAACGCAATGATTACTTTCTTTTTAATTAAAAATTATAATTTAAATTTTTTTTATTAAAAATTGTAAAATTAATTTTAGATGCTTTAAATTTTAATTCTTCTGTCACTTTTTTATTACGAATAAAATATGTACTGGAAACTGACTAGCCTATATGTATATAAATTATTTTTTATTTTAATTAATATGAATTTTTTAAAAATAGTTATTAAGAAAAATGTACATATATATTATATGCTTTTTGAAATTCAATGGAAATTTGAAAATTTTATGTACATTTTACTTACTTTCATTAGCGTTAATGTATAAATTTTTGAGCCCTTTTATAAAGCGATATTTCCTAACACGTGTTGAACTTTTATGTTTTCTCATTTTTAAAAATATTGTAAGCGTGAAAACGATCTGACATTTGTTAATAATAATAATTGAATATAGTTAGAAAAAAAGAAATAATAAATGTTCCACTTTTTAGAAATGACATCTGCAATGTAGCTTCCTATCAGGCCCCGAAAACTCCAATTGGAGTTTTCGGATTAGGCTATAACTTTTATAAGAAACTGGTTCATTTGAAGCTCAAAGTTCAAAAGAATTTAGTTGAAGTAGAAAAGAAAAGACTAAAAAACGATGGTTTTTAACTGTAATATATAGGTATGTGAAGAACACCAATACTGTATTTAAAGAACAGCAATACAGTATGTTTATCTTAGACAAAAGTCCTAATCATACTCGTATGTTAGAATTAACGATATCATTTTTTCAGTGTATTATCAATATAATCGAGAATATAAGTCATGATTTTTTTTAACCTTAGAAACAGGGAGTAAGGGTTTAAATATTAAAAACAAATTTTATTATTTAAACAAATTATCTTAAAATTAATTATTTTTATTTATAACTTATGGACCTGATTAAATGCAACAGGGGTTGCCCCCTTAAACATACAGTTTCAAGAAAAATACCTTTAAAGTATTATAATTGATTTACTAACAAAAAATACACTTTAAAAGGTCATCATAAGTCGTTTGCTGACGTTCAACTATCACAAATAGATATTGACATAACAATAGTCTAACATCTAAGGGACAGACATCTTACATTGATTTCAGATGTATACAGTATTAAAATTAATTATCAGCAGAGCTAACGACGTACTGCATCTGTCTTATCTTGTGGGACGAAAGTAGTATAGTATCTATCCAACAGAAAAGCGGAAGTGATAACACGCTGAAACCGATGTTGCTTGAAAGGTTAAGTAGAAAATCTGTAATGTGTTTAGGATAGCATTTCAAAATTTAATGAATAGATTATTAAACTTGAGCTGTTTGGTATTTGCTACAAAATATTATTAGTGTCATGTCTCTACTAAATAGTCACACGAGTAGTCACAGCGAAAAGAAGAGAATGTTAGCTTACTATTAAATTCCTTTCTTTCCGCTGTGATAATTATCTACTATTATTATTAATATGATGTAGCAAATATCGAATAACACAAGTTAAATAAATAAGTTTATTAAACTTTGAAATAAAAAGTATTTTTTTTGCATACTTACCACCAGCAAGTAGTTCAAGTGGGGCACAATTGAAAAATTTGTTGGAATCAAATAAACATTTAGTTAAGCACAACAGTACATTGTATACCAATAAATTTGACATGTCTCCTTTATTTTTTCTTCCGCATGCGTTTTCGGCTCTTGCGGTCATGTGCTTTCTGTCCCAAAATTCTCTTAGACTTCCTTTTGCTATTCTCTCTCTCTCTCTCTCTCTCTTTCTCTCTCTTGCTGTCTCACTCGCTCTAGTCATTCTCACTTGGTAAGCTAACGGCTCGTACTACTACTCCTGATGAATGTGTAGGTATACATTGTATATATAGTATAAATGTTGGGCTGCAAAGGCCATTGAGGGAGGCTTGCAAGCTTCCAAAGTTGGGAAAAAGCCAAGGAAGGGGTTGTGCTATGCGAACTTTAATCATCAGAGCGCAAGCTCAAGAATCTTATGTATCCTCCCACTATAGTCGAAAGGGAGGAGCTTTCATGCTTGCCAATACATATTCGGTCAAATTCATCTCAGTTCTTTCACGTCCAAAACGCGCGCGACGCACGATCTCGCAGTGCTCTGCTGCACCATAAACTAGGTATAAAAACTATTTTTCAAAAAAAAAAAATGTCAATTAAAACAAAGAAACGTGTTCGTTTGTCGACCACATCTCAAGAGTTTCAGGGATTTATGTATTCCTTCAGTGTTACATAACCTCAGCATGTTTTTTGTTTATTTAATTTAAAAAATCGATTTCATTTTTTTTTTTTCATTTATTTCTATTTTTCATCATTGAGCGTTCGAAATTTTTATTTTGCAAATTTTTGTCACTTTTTATTTTAATATTTTGTTTTTTTTATTATTTTTTTCTCTTCTTGGAAACTGACGACAAGTTATGTAATAACTCTAGTTACATTTGTAATAAGGGAAGAATAAAAAATGTTAATCTAATTATTTTTTAAAAATATTCGGAAACTTATTTTTCATTTATTTTTATTTGAAAAAGTTAAAAATTCAAGGTTATATATCAAAATTTAGTTTTTTGTAATTATTTTTCATCCTTATTCTGTTTGTTGGGTATTTAATTTCTGAAAATAGAGTATTGGGAAAATTTTAAAATATAAAAAGGAAATAACATAATAAATGTTGAATTTGAAGAATTGCAATTTTTCAAAAATGTTAATTATTGCTTTTCATTATACATTAGTATAGAATTCTTATCTTTCCTCAATAGCAGTTCCCTTCTCATCAAAAATGATGTCATCAGAACGCGAGTGGGAGTTTTTCAAAAAGATGGATTAAAATAATTTCTTGGAATTGTGCCAGTTTTTTTCTTTTGGGGAAGAAGAACGCTATACCTAAGGTGAGGAAACTAATTTTCTTCCTCGCATTGCATTTTTTCTTTTCTTTTATCTACTAAATTCTCTCTCCCCCTTTCTCTGTCCTTTAATCGTGATTTATTAAATTGAAAAACTTTATATTTTTTGCTCATTTCGCTGCGTAATTACATTCTGTTCGGTGACAAAAAATTTAAAAGAATCATTGTTAGATTGCATATTTGCTAAGTGAGAGACAAATTTTAATAATATTCAACCTTGTTTTCATTTAGACACGTTGATATGTGTGTACAAATAATAATTTTTTTTAAAGACAGTTATATTATTTTATAGTTTGAACCTTTCCTGGTAGGTGTATGATGTAATTTTATGCGAATGATTTAGGTATCCTCTTATTTTTTAAATGTTGTTGCGCCTCCTTGACCACTTTGCGGTCGACTTCGTTGCTTCCCCATTTCCATTCAACATGTCCCTTTTACTAAATTCGTATCTTGTTTAATATAATTTATTTAAAATTACTTTAAGTTTCACTTAGTTTCTAAAGTTAAATTAATTAAAATTATATAAAAATTGCAACTGCAATGATACTGAAAAGCGCGATTGGTGCTCCATCTCTTAAGTATTTGTGAGTTTTTGAGGTACTACATTTCATTTGGAAATGGGAATTCGTCCTTGTATTCACTTTTTACATTATCAATGCTGATTTTTTATTTCAATATATTCAACCTAAAGACGTTGTTAAGACGTTAATCTTCATTAACAATATTATTAAAAATCAATGTTCTTTATTCAAAAAGCTTGTTGAAAATTTTTAGCAGCTAAAATGATTTAACAATTGATGTAAATTGCTTGTAGGGTTTAAATGATATTTAAAATTATGTCAGTCGTTGCCAGAGTTTTGACAACCGTTGGGCCAACCATGTCCCGGAGTTTGCCAACTAAAAATTAGAAGTCATTTGAAATATGTTTTCCACAGTTTTGCCAACCGTTGGGCCAATCATGGCGCAAAGTTTGTCCAACCAAGAAATTTTAAGTCATTTAAACTACGTTCGCCAGAGTTTCGTCAACCAAAAAGTTTGCGTGTCTTAAACTACGTTTCCCAAAGTTTTGCCAAACGTTAGGCTAACCATGGCCCGGAGTTTGGCCAACCGAAACTCAAAATCTTTTAAACTACTTTGCTCGTTTTTGATGCGTTTCAAATTGAGTCAAAGATTCACTCACAATGATCCCAGTGTTGTAGTATACGACAAAAGCTAGACTACAAAATTTGTATAATGAGTTGTCTTTTTCCAACCGTTTAATAACACGTTTTCTATATTTGCTCTCACGAATAACAAGTTTCCACATGTCGGACTCATGGTTAGGTATTTGAAAGAACATCCGTAAAGCAAGCATTTTACTTGTTTGTTACTGAACAAAAGGTGCGAAACAATATTATTTAAAAGTCATTCTTGCGAATCAAATGGAAGGTAACGGTTTTTAATGCGGAAATTCTAGGACCAAGTTGGACGATCACTAGAATAGAATATTGACCTAACGGTAAAATTTGTACATATACACATATAGTAATTTCAATACATCACAATATGTATATATATATATAACAATGTTTCGCTAAATTTTACCTCAAAGCCTACGCGAACGATTGTATGCAGAAAAATTAACGGTATGATAGAAAGCCATGTCTTTATTATTTTCTTCATATATGCACATAATAACGAGCTGGGGAAATGTTACAAGACGTTGCAATTTATAATTAATGTCACGATTATGACTCATCACTTTTTAAAAATAGAAAGAAAAATCTAGCTTTCTTTCATTTTATTTTGATGTATTTCAAAATATAACATTTTTTTTTAATTATTTCAAATTGTAAAAATTTTTTCAATTTAAGTTTGTTCAAAACAAAGAAATTCTATAGTACAAACATTAAAATTTTAAGATGAACACAAAAAACCTATAGATTATTATACTATTGTAGTAAAAATGTTAAAAATAAACTAAAATTATTAAGTTTAAAATAATAATAACAAAAAGGAGAAAATATATAATTATAAAATAATATTGCAGCAGTTTGAGTGATAAAGTTTTTTTCCGTATAAGTTTATAAAGATTTAACATAGCAAAAGTACTTGCTGGGTTTTGTTATCCTAATTTGCACTACGTAACTGTGCAAAAATTAGAACACGTTCAAAAAATTATCACATTAATAATAATTTTAATACATTTACACAGAAGTCTCCTTTAGTTACTGATAACGAATAAATTTAATTTAAACAAAACTGAGAGAAATATTAAAAACCGCTACCAACTTAAAATGTTTATTTTTGGAAAGCTTTAATTTTTGTTTTTTTGGTGTTCATTTTAAAAACGCAGTACATTTTCATAGAGATCAAAGAATTACATGGAAATTAAATACTCAAATAATAAAAAGTGAAAAGCATAAAACTCTAAAAAACATTTCTCTTAAAAATTAAACTACTATCAAGTAGGTACATTTAGTTAAAAATAACTGATGTTGCAGTAGATTTCTTTTTTAACTGATTCAATTAGTAAAGTTTAACTAATGTTTTAGGATTGATCTATTATTATAAATTTATTACATTAATGTAAAAAATAAATACTAATTAGTAACCAAACTTGCTAGAATTTTTTTTCGATGTTTCATTCATGTCTGGACAGGAGTGGTTCCTGTTCAGAAAGCAAAGAGTACTGTCTTAACGAAAAAAAATTTTTGAACAGGGACCATTCCTGTCCGGATAATACCCAGTCATGTTTATTTTTCTCAGGGTAAGAAAAACAGTTCTTTAAAAGATAAAATAAAAGAACCTTATTTAAATAAGAATTTTAAGAATAAAAAGAAAAAGAAAAAAAAGAATTTTCTAACCAAACTTTTATTGTTGATAATGTAGTCAAAGCATTTCTTTCAGTGTATACCTAAATAGATTAAATTTTTTTAATTAAATTAAAATTAGTACAACAGGGATTGTAACTGCCATATGTACAACAATTAATTGTTTTTTATTCTTATCGACAATTATGTAATTTGCCAGTAAATCTGTTTCTTGCTGAACCGACATGTATTTGTCCCATTTAAGAATAGCAACTTTTCGTTTTTCTAAAATGGGTTGATTGCCGTAAAAAACTGTTAACAAAAATTGCGTTATTGTTAAAATGAAACGCGGATTTTTGTTGTTGATTTCATCCTTGAACTCTTCAGTTGCCACCAAATCTTGTGGATAATTTCGCGAAACATGCTTGTGAAGAACTTCCCTCCCCTTATTTTTACCAATGAGCCATCGAAATGTCGAAGATTTTATTTTTATGTGTTTATCTATGGAGTGAATATTAAAGTCGCCGTTGACTTCTTTCTGGACTCCTGTAAAAACAAATCTTTAATACGGGATCAAGCGTCCTTTTAAGAGATCGAAATTTTTCAACTCCTCTTTCAACACTGGATTTTTCGGAATTGAAAAATATACTTGTTTTTTAGGATTTTTTAAATTGAAAATGACAGATACTCCTACCCTGTCCGTTATAATAGTCCCCGAAAATTTCATTAGCTCCTTATTTATCCGTAAATGAGAAATGTTAAGGAGTCTAGTTCATCGATGAGCATTTTCAATATATTTATTTATTTTCGTGTCTCTTCTGTAAAATTTCTTTATGCACATTTTTGAATTTATTCTCATTGTCATTAATCGGTTTTAATTCTTCATTAAGTTTCGTTAACTTCCCCGCAGCTTGTCCACTGCGAAACATGACTGACATCATGGATATGTTCGGTAGACTTAGGTGACAGGGCTTTTCACTAACGAACAACCAAACAGCTAGAATGAATTAAAGTTATATATTTTAAACCGCAATTCATAAGTGGAACAAGAATGAAACTCTTCCATTTGTTTTTCGCTAAACATAATTGTAGCCGATAGAAAAAGTTGAGGAATTTATAGCATTCTTTGCGTTTATCAATGTCTGTAAAATCTAAATTTTCTTCGTTCATAATATTTAATGTTTTGTCACATTTGTTACTGATGATGAGATCGTCTCGATTTTTCATTCTTTTTCTGGATACGATTTTGCCATGTCGTATGCGTCACATCATAAACATGTTTTCTAGGTAAAATTCTTTTATTTCTTTCTTCATTTCGCTCTTGGTGGAATATCACGGCATCTGTGCTCTTTATTTCGGGATATGTTTGCAGCAACGCAGCATGCATTTCACTACGTAGTTGTTTTAAAATTTCTATTTTCCTCCTTTTCTTTTGTTTTATCTCGGACGTTTCTTCTTGTTATTTCTTGTTCTCTTTCTTATTTTTTCACCTTTAAATATTTCCATTTTAAAAAATTGAGCTAATCGATTTTGATTTGTTTTGAAATTTACATCTAATTGTTAAGTCATTTCCTGAATTGGTAATGACAAATTTATGCAATCGAATTTTTCCAATGGTCTGTCCATATATTCGGTAAATTCGGGAACAAATTGTTTATTTAATTCTGTTAGTACTTTATCCTTATTCGTTTTTTCATGACTCTTTTGGAACGAATATAAGTAATATGGACCTTGTTCACTCCAAAGATTACGAAGGTAATCGTTGTTATAAATATATATATTTATATATGTATATAGCTTGTGAAAGTTCAATGATGTTTAATGAACTCACCTTCTCGTGTCAACGAATTCCAAGTGCGATGCATTGATTTAATGACACTCCTTAAATTTCACAACGTCAAGGAAATAACCTCGAGGATGAGTAACCTAGTACCTGCATCGTTTGTTTTTTTTTCTTTTATTATTCCTTTTATAATGCTATCTCATATTTCATTTTTATTGTCAATTGATATAAGGTACCCACTTATATATTTTATTGAGCAACGCTAACTAAATCTGGGTGTTCCATTTTTTTTTTCACTTTCAATTCAATATCGTGTTACTAATTTAGCATTCAGTTTCACAGAATGCGTGGGTGCCTTACATACCTATGTATGTTGTGAAAGTCTTTTTATAGGAAAATATATGTATATTAGAAAATGAAAGTGCATTTTATGTATCGATGATAAATTTTATATTTTGAATCTCCGCAAATTGTTTGCTTTATATGCTTTTGATTTTACGACCCAATATTTTTAGGTGGAAAAATTTCAATGAAAGGGTATTGACGATTTAAATATAGTTGGGTATTTGCAATTTCTATAATTTTGATTTCTAAATATTTTGGTTTATTTCATAAATTTAGTTATACATATCTATTGTTTTAAGTATCAAAAAATTAAAATTGCAATTATCCTAAAATCTGACGTGTAGTGAAAAAACGAGTTGATTCGAGTTCAGCGTTCAAATTTACCTTATAAACAGGTTTCGTTGCTCGGGTCCAAAACCTTGTAAACCTGTAATATTTGTAACATTTTTAATTTTTACTCAAATATCATATTATACCCATTATCCATAACAATAAAAATGTCATTTCATATAAGTGATCCTGAGCCGAGTTGAACCATAGAGTTATAAGAATAGAGTGTACTAGAATTTCTTGAAGTTCATCACTAATTGATATAAAGAATTCAATTAATCATATATTTACATATGAAATTCCATATTTCGAATAAGAAAATAAAAGTTAATTTTATTAAAAGTTAATTTTATCTTGATTATTTTTTAAGATGTTGGAGTATATTGATGAGTTCTTAAAAAGAAAACTTGTTTAATGAATCTCGTGTAATGTGATGCTTCTCTATTATATAATACAGTGGAAGTTGACGTTCACTTTCATCAGAAGGATTTTTCATAAGCTGACACCACGTAAAAGAAAGAAAACCTTATAAACTTGATATCATTGTTTTTAACCCAATTTAAAAGTGAGTTTATTTTTAGGTTTCGGCTTATTAAAAATGGGTTAAATTTGTTCTTTTTTGTTTTGAATTAATTAAATTTTGTCGTTTTTAATATTTTCAAGACGCTACTTACAAAGGAATTACTAAGTTCACAGTTTTCTAAATATTTAAGATGTGGATATTAAGGATCTTAATATGGTTGCAGTTGTTCTAAAAATACATAATAATTTATCAGGGTTGACACAAAAATTTAATTTTGTTTTTCCCTGACACTAAATAATATCAGAATCAGAATTCACTCTAAAAATTATTAGAAACTCAAAAAAATGTTCGAATATTTTCGAATTTCTTTAATTATTGTAAAATTATTTTAAACAATTGTTTTATTTATATCATAATTATTTAATCATTATTTTTCTAATGAAATTATGATTTTCAAAAATTTCAAATTTAAATCTTTTGAAATTTAATAACTTATAAGAATAATATTATGTATAAAAACATGAAGAAGTCAATCATTCCGAGTCTTCGACTCGGAGTAATTGATTTCTTCATGTTTTTATAACAATTAATAAATAAAAATAAATAAATATATAATATTATTAATAAATAATAAATAAATAAATTATTATTTTATATAAAAATATTGTAACTCCTAACTTCTTTGAAATTATTTTCATCATTTAAATTCAATTATTATTTTCTAGAATTTTTAATTAAAATTCTTCTTTAAATCAATTATTATTTAAAACAACGAAAAATTTAGATTTTCAAAGATTTGAATTTGAAACCTTTGCAAAATTCAATTATTTCTAAAAATCCATGCTATGTTTTTAATATTCAATTATTATCTACAATTTTAACCGAAATTCATTTTCATTTCATTTAAATCAATTTTTATAAGAAAATTCTACGAGAATTCAATTATTATTTAAATACAAAAATAAATTATTTATTCAATAATTGAATTTTATAACAATTTTTGAAAATAATTGAAAACTTTTTCAAGAATTTTATTAAAATTTTTAAAAATAATTAAATTCCTGAGAAGAATTTAAATAATAATGAAATTATTTATGAAAATAATTGAATTCATGCGATGAATTTTATTAAATTTTGTTTAAATAATTGAAATTTTTACAAGAAGTTTTTAAAAAATTTTGACAACAATTTAATTTTTGAGAAGAATTTCGCTACCTATTTATAAAGATTTAATTATTAAGGAGAATTTTAAAAAAATTTTTAAAATAATTTAATTTCTGCAAAGAATTTTATTACTTTTCAAAAAAATTTAATTTTTGTGATAAATTTTGATATTTATGAAAATAATTGAATTTTAGAAAAGAATTTTATTAAAATTCCTTTCAATAATTGATTTTGTGGGGAGAATTTTGTTGTTTAACAAGACAATTGAATTCATTTGCAGAATTACTTAAGAATTTTTTTGAAAATAATTGGTTTCCTGAGACGAATTAAAAGTTATTTATGAAAATAATAATTTAATCATTGCAAAGAATTTTATTATTTTATTGAATAATTATGAATGTTTCTTAAATTTGAATTCTTTCGTCAAGTTTTATTAAAAATTTTAAGAATAACTGCATTTTTCGAGAAATTTATTTAAAATTATGTTAAAAATATTTAAAATTTTCTCATGAAAATAATTCAATTCCTAAATGAAATTTTATTATTTTTGAAAAAATTGAATGTTTCCGTAGAATTTTATCAACAATTTTTTTCAATAATTACATTTTTTGATAAATTTTATGAAAATAGTGAATATTGAAAATTATTGAAATGCGAAAAACTTTTAAAAATATCTAATTGAAACTTTTGCAAAGAATTTTATTTAAATTTTTTGAAAATTATTTAATTTTTCGATAAAAATTTTGCTATTTATAAAAATAATTGAATTCTTGACGAATTATTCGTTAAAATTTTTCAAAATAATTGAATTTCTTCGAAGAATTTTATTACTTTTGAAAATAATTGAATTTTGCAAAGAATTTTTTTTAAATTCTTAAAAATAATTGAATCTTTGTGAAGAATCTTGTTATTTTATCAAGATAATTGCATTAAAACTTTTAAAGTAATTAAATATTAAAAATTTTAATTCATCAATTTTTTGAATGGGTTTTTATAAGAATGTTTCTTTTTCGAAGTTTGTTAACTATTTAGAAATTGTTTAACTATTTAGAAATTTCTTGTTAAGAAAAATTTAGAAAATTAGCCACTTCCTCTCTAAAATATCACTTTGTACAATCGTTTACACATTTTTCTTGCGCAATAGGTAAATAATAATTATTAGTAAACGCTTTCTTCCGATGTGGGTATTAGTTGATATTTTTCCGAGTTCCTGGTACCGTCGATTTTTTCTCTATTTGTTCTCTTTCTTTTTCATTAAGATATATTGTACCTTTCGTGTGAATGTAAAAATTTCAGGAGAGACTTGCGATTGGCTCTCGCCCGTCTCAGACGATTCACGAAGGTTACACCTCCAACGTACGTGTAAGTCCAGATCACAAATATCGGATCGCGGTAACGGTAGATCGAATGAACCTTTGCACCGGTAAGATCTTTGAGTGGCGTGCTTGATAATTACTTTACACATTCATCTCTCTGTGTTTCGATTAATGTGAATTGCTTTTTTTGTTCGTGTCTTCCCACTGTTAGTTATCAAAGTAATTAATTTTCCTCTTTTCTTTAGAATTTGTGACAATACTTGTAAACACAGTAATAAGTGATTGTTTTCTTCTGTTTTAATTTGCAGATCAAATGTAAGTGCGCGTGTGATCGTGTGTGTGTGTGTTACTGCAACAACAACAGTACAGGCGTTTTTGGAGGAAGACTGTGGAAATCCAAAAAATGGCAAGGTGTCAACATTTCATATTCAGCCTCATATTTTACAGTTGCCTCGTGCTGCATTTTGGTAAGTCTTTCTATTTTTTTTTTCGCTCTTTTTTCACCGCGCAATTTTTTAAATGAAACTTTTGTTATCGATGCTTCCAGTTTTTATTTTTTTCCACACAATTGTGAAAAACGAATGTTCAATTGAACATCTCCAACGTTCGTTGGAGCAAAAATTGTTATTTGATTAATGAAAAGTATATAAATTACAAGAGCAACTATTTTACCAAATGAAAAAGGCAAAAGAAAGAAGAATTACAACTTGAAACATTTTCTGTTAAAAAATAATACTTTAAATACATGAAAGTATTTAAAGTATTTACTTTTTTAACATTAAAATTAAAAATTAAATTTAATATTTTGCAAGTTTCTTTTTGTTGAAGAATAGTTAAAATTTGTAAATTAAACAATGTTTTATTTAATTTGTCTTTTGTATTCTGTCGTTTGAGAATTTTTACCTTTTTTTTTGAACAATTTTAGTCAAATATCATTTGCTTTGTAAATGCTGCAAAGTTTATTTTTATTAAACAAAAATAAAATTCAAAAGTTTACTGGGAATAGTGTTCTATTTACATTGAAAGAACGATGTAGAGAAACTTTTTGATTTAAATATTGAATATCATTTTTTGAAATTCTTTTGTGTTGGTGAAACGCAAAGGTAATAAAAGTAAAATAAATGTCTATGAATGACAGTAAAGTTACTCTGTCGAAATGTGATTGAAAGTAATGAATGGAACAGAATTGCTCTAAACGAAAACTTTAATTAACTTTATCATTGAATTATTTACAACTGTTAAAATTATTTTATTTAAATTCCTTTACTTAAAAAACATAACGATTGACGGAAAAAGATTTACGATAATATAATTCTTATGTAAGAAATTGTAATAAATTTTCTATATTGCAAAATGGATATTTGAATATTCAAACATAATATTTAATAACAAATTTCTTATTACCCTAAAAAAAGTAATCTTTATTTTTGATGCGGATTTCTCTAAATTAAATTCGTATTTTTCTCCTATATTGTATCAAAACTTTATGAATTAATAAAGAAAAGCTATTCTGATGCAATAAATTAGTCATTTTAAAAATAATAGAATTTAAAAATTTTCTAATTTAAATTTATGTTGAAAACTCTAAAAAAATTGAATTTTGGAGAAATTACAAATAATTGCAGAAATTCAATTATTTAAAAAAAAATAAAATTCTTCTTACAAAATTCAACTATGTTCAAAATTTGAAAAAGATTCTTGTAAAAATCCCAATTAACTTTATAAATAACAAAATTCTTCTCCAAAGTTCAATTATTTTCATAAACGTCAAAAAAATTATTGTTCTAATTTTAATAATTTTCAAAAAATTGTCTAATTTTAATGATTTTCAATATCTATTTTAATAAAATTTTCCAAAAAGAATTCAAATTTTAATTACTATTTTACTAAAATTTCACAAAACAATTCTATTATTCAAAAAAAAAAAAAAAAATGTTAAAAAATTCCTTTCAAACATGCAATTTATATAAAAAATATTAAAATTTTTCGTAAGAATTCAATTATTTTCAAAAATAATAAAATTCTTTACAAAATTTCAATTATTTCAAAGATTTTAATAAAAATTCTTGTAAAGAATTCAATTTTTTCTTATAAATAATTAAATTTTTCAGGGGAAATTCAATTATTTTTCAAAATTTTAACAAAATTCTTCACAAAAATTCAATTATTTTCATAAATAATAAAATTTTTCTGACGAATTCAATTATTTCGAAAAATAATAAAATTCTTTGCAACATTCAAATTATTTCAAAGATTTAAATCAAAATTCTTGTAAAGAATTCAATTATTTTTATAAATATAAGTAAATTTTTTAGGGGATTTCAATTACTTTTATAAATAATTAAATTTTTCAGGAAAATTCAATTATTTTTGAAAATGTTAACAAAATTCTTCATAAAAATTCAATTATTTTCATAAGTAAGAAAATTCTTGTGAGGAATTCAATTATTTCAATGATTTTAATCAATTTTTTGGAAAGAATTCAATTAATTTCATAAATAATAAAATTCTTCTGAGTTCAAAATTTGAAAAAAATTCTCGTAAAAATTTCAATTATTTCTATAAATAACAAAATTCTTCTCCAAATTTCAAATATTTTCATAAATGTCAAAAAAATTCTTGTCCTATTTTCAATTATTTTCAATTTAAATTTCAATTTATGCAAACATTTAATTATTTTCATAAATAATAAAAATTTGACTGCAATTGAATTATTTTCATAAATAATAAAATTCTTTTAAGGAATTCAAAATTATTATTTTCATAAAAAATAATTTTAAATTCTAGAAAATAATAATTGAATTAAAATGATGAAAATAATTTTGATGAAGTTACAGGTAAAACAATATTCTTATAATATAAAATAATGATTTTATCTCTCGGTCATCGTTAATTATTATAATTTGTTTAATTTCAAAAAGGTTTGAATTTAAAATTTTTAAACTTCTTAATTCCTGTGGAAAATCCTGTTACAAAAATAAAATTAAAAATAGAAATTTTGCAAATGTTTTTCTTCTTTTTCTAAAACAAAATAATAATTTTGTTAAAAAAATTGTGATTCATAAACAAAAAATAATGCAAAATAAATAAATTTTCTATTTCTTAATCACAGTTCTAATTCTAATAAAAAAAATAATGTAAAATAAATAAATTTTCTATTTCTTAATCACAGTTCTATTTCTAATTTTCTTTAGAAGTAAAGAACAAAAATCTGCATAATTTCAATTTGACAAAACACAATATTTAACAAAATTTTAGTCTTTTAATGGAAAGAAGTGAAAAAAATTTTGATGATTTCTATTTGTCATTACAATTTTGATTGAATTATAAAATAAAAATAATTAAAATATAATAATAGAATATACAATCTATCTAAAGTTGATAAAAAACAAAAGTATAAACAAAAGACAACTTCAGAGTGTGAGGGACAGAAAAAGTATGAATGAATGAAAGAACATTCAAATTATTATAGTTAATTATAGTTAATTAATAATTAATTAATTATTAGTTAATTTAAATATTTTATATTATATTTATATTTAAATATTTTTAAAAATTCATTAAATTAATCAGATAAACAGTTTGAAATTGGTTGAGCTTTGAAAAATGAATAAATGATCTGAAAAAGATGTGTATTCTCCAAGGGTTAATTAATATTTTTGAATATTTAAAAAATACCTATTTTAAATAAGAAAAGTGAATTTTTTTATTAAAAAATTTCAAATAGGAAATTTTACGAATAGAAAAAGGGACATTTTTTTCTCATTAATTTAAAAATGGTTGGCGCAAGGAGCTCTTGAGCAACGTACAATGTAAACGACTTCTGTATGCAATTACAATTGTCCCAATTACAATAATAGGCACTTATCTATTCCAAGATGTATTTCCAATTATTTTCTTATAGAGACGTACAATAAAGTTTCAACTTTCACTAAGTTTGTCGCATTTGTGATAAAATCGAAACCTTGACACGTCAAGGATTATGTTCATCACATTCTTTTGTTTGTTAATTTTGATTCGGGTTGTGGTTGATTGTATACATAATAGAAAATTGCTATAACTCGCAGTTATTTTAAAATTCTATCTAGTTTCAAAAATAATAAAGTTTAATAATTATTTTAATTTAAATTCAATAAAAAAAGTCGCGCACTATAAACTGTCAAAAAAAATGTGATAATTTTTTATTCACTTTTTCATAAAATATGTCCGCAAGTTCTAAGAATATTGAAATATAAAATATAAGTCACTATAGAGATTAGTCACAGAGGTTGATGACGTTTTTCATAATTCCGCATTTATATATTTTTGCTTCCTTCTGATTAGCTATTTATGTGTGTGAAAGTTGCTTAAATATTCATTGAGCCAGGTGGAATGTTGATTGAAATAGTTGAATTCGTAATTATGGTCAAGGTAAAAAATAATTTATTAATGTATACAATTTATAAGCTTTGAGATATTTTTAGCTATTTTTCGGTCAGTTTCTTTTAAGGATTCTTTAGGAAAATAATCGCTGTCATCATTTCATAATTTTATGATCCTACTCTTGCACTCTTCTTCCTAACAGCGCACTTGCGACGTTGCCAAATTAACAACGTAACGTTACGATTCCTAGCACAGGTCAAGAGGAAAATATAACCTCAAAATTTAGGTCAAATCCAAAAGAGATTTATTTAATTTAGGTCAAATCAAATAGATAACAGAATCTTTTAATTGAAGGTAAAACTAACACGAACATAATCTAAAAATGACAATTTTTAGAAGTAGTACAAAAAGCTTGAATAGACGAGTCAAATCAAAATTCAGGTACTCGAATATTTTTGAAGTCTCGAGTGAATCCGAAAACTTGAGTTTCGAGCTTTTCGCACACCTCTAGAATTTTTCTGCTACAAGTGCAAAGCTTTAGGTACACTGAAAAAAACTGGCTTGTGGATAGAGACTCAAAAAACCTTTAAGTAACGACTTTCAAACGAAACTGGTTAATTTTAAAAATAAATACGCCTCGGCGGTTATGACAATTTTTAATGATCCGTCTTGACGTTTTATAAATAACAAATTTTGAAAAATCGGTATTTAGAATGTGATAACCCTTACCGGTTATAACCGATTACTGAGAGAAATTATTGAATACATTACTTTTCAGGAATGACATGGAAAAAAACGTTATTGACAAATTTTTCTGTCGGATTTAGTTCAAATTTAAATATTCCTCTAATGAATTGTTTTCAAGGAGGATGGTACCTAATCCTAACATATACTTTAACAGCAACGGATATTTTAGGTGTTCTAAAATTTCTTTAAAGTTATGGGCAAAAAACGTTTTTTTGCAAAATTACAAATGCAAAAAAATATAGTTAAAATTTATGAATCGGGCTGAAAATACTCTTATTTTATGTCCTACAGGGAGATCTAAAATATTTCTGTTTGTAGTGCAGCTCTGCTGTGATGTATAGGGTTAAAAAGTAATTTG